TGTGTGTGTGTGTGTGTGTGTGTGTGTGTGTGTGTGTGTGTGTGTGTTTGTACCTTTGGGTACCTTTTTAAAATAAGAACGAGAGACTTTTAAGTGTATGAAGAGACGAATGTGTGTGGGTTTAACAGTTAAAGTTGGACATTTGACAGCTGCAGGTGCATTACAAGACTAGAAGAAGAAGTGTCTCTGTGAGTGAAAGTAATGGGGATGTGTGGCAGTTGTGTGTTTGTGTGTGTGTGAGTGTGTTTGGATGCTGAGTATTGAAATCAGTTCTTTGATGGTTCAGTTTAAATGAGTCCCGAGGGACAGGAGATTCCACGGATTAACTCTTCCTCCACCAGTCGCGTGCTTGCTGACTCAAACACACAGACAGAAATAAAAGTGAAGAATGTCTAACCTGAGTTAGCCAAAGCGATGGCCTTCAGAGCGACAAATTCCTCCTTCTCGAGCTTCATAGTCTTGTATTTCTTGACCAGCTGAAGGATGGCATTGTTCAGGTCCAGAAGTCCAGCTAGCTTCGACTGGTCCTCATCCATGATGTAGTCCTCAGCATACACCAACTAAAGAGAGGCAGAGAGATTGTATTAAACATGTCTAAACATTTGTATGTATTTCTCTTGAGCTAGGAGCAAACTAAAGTCAAAGATGCTCACCTTGTCTTCAAAGGAAAGTGAGCGGTACACAACACGAAGGATCAAGATCTCCATCCATGCACTCTGCAGTAGACTCATCTGGTCTGCCAAAGACAGCGTGGAGAAACCTGAGGACAATTCAGAAGCAGAAGAAAAGCAAGAGATGTTAAAATGGTTTGCTCCAAAACAGAAATCTAAGAGTTAAGGAATGTTTTGTTTTACTTGTTGATAACAGTCAAACTAACAGAGGGTGGTGAAGCTTGTTTTAAAGCTATCAAGAGAGTCAAGATCAGCTCCTCTCCCTTTCCTCCCTGCCCACCCTCCATCCATTCCGGTTGACCAGAGTTCTCCTCCTCCTCCTCTTCCTCATCATCCTCCTCTCTCTCCTGTGCCCAGGGCTGTTCTCTGGGGAGAGGCAGGCCTTATCTCCCCCTGACACAGCCTCCATGGATCAATGCTGGCCATCGCTGCTGCACCACTCAAACACACACACTAATTGCCGCTATGGCCTCAAAAGTCCTGCTTTCTCCGGTGTCAATCCATGTCTTTCTATTTGCCTACGTCTTTATCTGTCTGTCTCTCCAAATCGCAATCCATGACTTTTTTATCTGTCAGTGTCTATCTGCGACTGACCATCTGTGTGTCTGATTCTGGCTTCACCTTCTTCCATCCATCTCAATACATCTCAGCCTCATGTCCTGTATGTTTGGGTTTCTCTCTGTTCCACATGTTGTGCTTGTTGCATGTCTGCATTTCACTTTCTGTACTGTAACTATCATTTTGTTTGATTTATTTTAACTTCCTTATTTAAAATATTTATATTACATTCTTGTTTAAGTGGACCAGACGCTCGCTGGTTGTCTCCCCCTCTCTGTCTGTCTGTCTGTCTATCTCTTTAATGGAACACCTGCCCACTCACACCTTTCCTCACAGCTGTCCTCTCCTCACACACCTGTCCATTCACACCTGCTGTCTGCCTACATTGCGCTCTTGTGTGTGTGCAAGCCTTCATAGGAAAGGCAAAGACAGTGGCCCATGTGAGCACACCTGTCAGACCTCACTGCAGCCCTCCAGTGTGTGTGTGTTTATGTGTGTGTGTTTGGTGTGTGTCAGGGAGGAGCATCCTGCCAGGAGAAGCAGGCAGATGAGAAGGAAGATATTTCTTCAACAACATCTGCTGCCATGTGCCTCCTCTTGAGATGGTAGGTGTGTGAAAGAGAGAGTGTGTGTGTGTGTGTGTGTGTGTGTGTGTGTGTGTGTGTGTGTGTGTGTGTGTGTGTGTGTGTGTGTGTGAGTGCATGTGCATTAGGGGTTCTTATCTCACAGTGTGTTGATGGGTAATGGCAGGCGTCTCATTATGTCCAGGTTGCAGGCTATTGTTGTGTGTAATGTGCTGTAATTCATTCTATCTGCAACTGTTAAAATCTCCATCACACACAAACACAAACACACACAAACATGCACACTCACACACAAATACAGTAAACACCGCTGCGCACACACATACAGTATCAGATATGCATATACATAAATGTAAAGGAACATACTGGAATTAATCCAAATGTGTTTGATTAACACACACACACACACACACACACACACACACACACACACACACACACACACACACACACACACACACACACACACACACACACACACACACACACACACACACACACACACACACACACACACAGCTCAGTGAAGGGAGCAGTGCTGTTGCCAACTGGCAGTGTCTTCTTCTACTTAATGAAATCATCAGAAGGGATTAGAGGTGAATTTCTTAAGGGGGTCTTCATGCACACACCCACACATACACACACATCTCTTTCACAGAGGCAGATGTCTTTAGGGGGTCCTCAGGACTTCACTACTCATCCAGGGCAGGGGGAATAAGCGTGGGCACGTCTAAAATTAACACACACACTTATTGAATCTGTTTAAACCCTGGGGTCAAGTGAAGAGAAGAAGACACGAGTGAGGGGTTAATATCATTAAACGATGTCACTGGTCGGGTGTTTTTTTACATTTGTGTGTGAGAGAGAGAGAGAGAGTGAGTGTGTGTGTGTGTGTGATTTCAGCACTCTGGTATTTGGAACAGCACGCAGGGTTCAATCAATTCCAGCACATCCCTCTGGTGGAATTTGATCCAGTGGAGCACACATGGCTCAAAAAATGTGCACAAACACACACACACACACACACACACACACACACACACACACACACACACACACACACACACACACACACACACACACACACACACACACACACACACACACACACACACACACACACACACACACACGTGCATACACACATAATCACAAATAAGCAAATACACACAAGGTAAAACAAACTGTAAATATCTTCCAAAACAGGCTTGGATGCCCAGCTGTATGTTGATTATATGGTCTGCATATTATTTATAGATCAACAAACTTCTCCCTAATTACACATGAAATGCACACGTATGTGTACAAACTCACACAAAGGAAACACCAATAATTAAAACCCCTGTGATTAATTTATTGAGCTGAAAGTGCGTATTTTCTTATTGAAGTACGTCAACGATTTTTATCAGGACGTGGTGTGTGTGTGTGTGTGTAAAGGATTGTGTTGTGTGAAAGCACTTTGAGTGTTGTGAATATGTATATGTTTTTATTGTGCACTTAATAATATTATTATATAGAAATGTTGCACCGTTGTACCGTGTGTTGTCTGGTTGTTCCATCAGCCTATTTGGATTACTTGTGTTTACGTAAGTTGCCATACATAAGCTTCTATGAGTTTCTGCATGTGTGTATTTCTGTGTGTGTTTGTGTGTGCCTTCCCGAGCCCCTCCCCTTCCCACCAGCCTGTCTGCGCTGTTCAGCCATCCAATGCCTCTTATCTGTCTGATTAATAGGCGGCCAGCTTCAGGACAAATTAATTAACAGATAACGCCATCTCTCCCTTCTTCCCTTCCTCCCCTCCTTCTCATGAAGCGATCGATACAGCAGAAGAAAAGAAACATCAATGGGAATTTAGTGCTGATGATGGAGAGAGAGAGGTATTGATGGAGAGGGAGAGAGAGAGAGGGAGGGAGAGAGAGAGAGAGAGAGAAAGAGTGAGATGGAGGAGAGAAGAAAGTAAAAGGGGGAGAGGTGTTGGAAGGAGAGATGGTGGTGGCGGAGGTGGGAAGACCTTTCTTTCATACCTGTGATTTCACTTGACAAAAGAAGGTTCCCTATTTGGCTCTAATTACATTTCCTTTCTGCCCATTGTTGATAAGACACCTCGTGCTATGTGTGGTAGCTTGAGTGTGTTTATGTGTGTGTGGATGTTGGACAACGTGCATTTACTTTGGTGCTGGGGGGGCTAAGCTAAATGTAAAGTGATGTACAGTTAAAATAAAGTTCAAAGCTTTGCTTAAACATATCAATATCAACTTTAAATGAAAGAAAATGGCCAAAGGTCGGATCTGCACGTGTTCCCTGGAATCCATTATTGGATGTATGTTTGTGTCTTCAGTATGTACAGCTTGTGGGCCGTACAAAGTGTAACACTTCCTGTGCTGGATTAACGCTCCTACTAAGCAGCACCTTTTAATAGAACAGCAACCTAAATTCTAAGAGAAAAGGTTGATACATAATGTGTATACATACAGTTTGGGATTTGGTATACAGAGCATAAGGTCACGTACATCTGTTTTTTGTTGGATTTGGGCGTGCCTACCTGAACATTAAGACAATCTATTCTTCCATGTATGGAGGTACAGAGGTAAAATGGGTGCGGTGTGTGTAGGCATGTGTGTGTGCCATACATTGGCCTGACAGAAAGAGGCTGCAGTGCAGTCATGCAGACTTAACCTCTGCTGCATGCTCTTGTGCTCTTTTCCTTTTTTCTCTTCCCTTTCCTCTATCAGACACACACATGAAGACAAACACACACACAAACACACGTCGATTCCCAAGCCACCCTGCGGCCTGTTTGTCTGCCAAATGAGTCCTGACTGCACGTTTACACCCGAGACCGCACAACAGTCTGGCACAGACACACACACACACACACTGGATAGCCCTCTCTCACGCCCCAGTTACTACAAAGACACACACCAACACACATATCCAGGAGGCCTATATTTGTTTTCTTGTGGTTACAGGGCAAATGGGAACCAGTGAGAACCGATTGTGATGCTTATGAGTCCATGTGCACTTGTGTGTGTACTGTTTCTGGCATATTGTAGAATTATTTGTGTGTGTGTGTGTGTGTGTGTGTGTGTGTGTGTGTGTGTGTGTGTGTGTGTGTGTGTGTGTGTGTGTGTGTGTGTGTGGGAGGGAGAGAAAGAGAGTGTGTGGATTAATGTGACAGGTGTGAAAACTGTTTGCAATGCTGATCTGGTCCAGGTTATTAACACACGACTAGTCTTCATATTCTGTCAGTGCAGTAAAAAGGACGTTTGGCATAAATGTGGTTGTTATTTTTAAGCTTTTTTCTTTAAAGGAACTGTCAATCAAAATCAAAGAAGTGAAAGTAAATCATATTTGTAATATACACATTATAATTGACATTAGCCAAACATATATAACTAAATATTTATATTAAAGCAATACCATTATTATTGTGAGTAGAATAGAAAATATGATTTTATTTGTAATCCTTATTGTGATTTATTGCTGGGTACCTTTGGTAACTATGTTGTTCTTGTCATGAGTCTGAAGCCAAAAGGCCACATAAAAACGACAACATCACATTCAAAATGAATAATGAATACCTCTAAGTGTTGATTTTTACCTCACAACAACATGTTGATTGCTGATTTAGCTTAATATATTGTTGGGAATTGAAACTGACATTTCAAAAAGACAAGGAATGTGTGTGTGTGTGTGTGTGTGTGTGTGTGTGTGTGTGTGTGTGTGTGTGTGTGTGTGTGTGTTTGTGTGTGTGTGTATGGCCGGGGTGCTGCCAGCAGAGAAGCAGGTCAGCTCAGCGTTGCTGGACCACATTTGATTTGAATGAGCCAACTAACAACTTAACCCCCGGTGTGACACTGCGGCACGGACAGAATAAGCCATTAGTGCTCGGAAAGTCCATCAGACGTTGTGTCCATTTTCAGAAGCTCTGACAATGTCGTCACACA